TGTCCCATAGATTACACACGAACGCCACCAAGACATTCCTACAACGACAAAATGGTGTAAGAAAACGAGACTATAGGTTCAAAGTTCAAACTGGAGGACACTTTGAGAGTATCGAATTTCTGATATAACGAATTCATTTGTAATACCCTATTCATTATACGCGGAGTTCAGAATATATAGAATATCCATGTATCTATGCTGTTTTAAACGCCGCAATCAGCAAGATCTCTGCTTTGTAGCATCCCTCTGTAAATATTTGAGTCTAGACCAGGCACTCCAGTGATCGACATCTTGAACAACGAGATGCAGTTATCCAGGTCACTGAGCCTAACAACCCGTTCTATGTCGTCGCATCTTACCACAAGATTAGGTAGCTGGGGGCATGTATTCGAACTCGGAATCCTCATGGTTACAGGCAGTTATATCATTGTTATAAAGTTATAAATTTGGGAGACCATTGTCACCATGATTTGTATTATTAAGCCAAAGTCTCATTCATATTAATTAATTGATTATCAGCTTTTTCCTTTACAATAAGAATATAGCATCACTGTATTTATTAGCCTTTGTGTGATTTTAATCAAAGGAAAATGCAGCTATTCATATATCCACACATACAATCTTTAAATTCACAGACAGCTGTAATTTGAAGTATCAAATGTATTGGGGGGGGGGGGGGGGGGGGGCACTGGCCCACCACTCCCCATCACTGAGCCACTACTCCCCATCACTGACCCTGCACTCCCCATCACTGACCCACCAGTCCCCATAACTGCCCCACCACTCCCAATCACTGACCCACCACTCTCCATCACTGACCCACCACTCCCCATCACTGACCCACCACTCCCCATCACTGACATTTGGTTGGAAGTATTCTCAGCTGACAGGAATTCACAGTTGTAGAAATGGACTGATGGCATGAATATCAAGGTGAGTGACACAGGCCCTATGGACCTCTTATTATCCCCCGCCCCACGAAGTTGGCGGCGGATATAGAAATGGGTTCCGTCCGTGTGTGTCTGTGTGCGTGCGTGTGTGCGTGTGTGCGTGTGTGCGTCCCGAAATCGTTTCCGGACATAACTCAGAAACCGTTAAATATTTCTGTACGAAACTTTGCATGTCAATCAGACTCATGCTGAACTTGTGCCTTTTGCTATTTAGGAATTTTATAAATTTTAATTTGTTACGTTTCCATGGCAACAAGTCGGACTTAGGTTCTATAAGGGTGCTGTTCGTTTCCGGAGCGTAGCTCAAACTCCGTTAAATAATTTCTTACAAAACTTTGCATGTTTACCAGACACATACTGAACTGGTGCCATTTGATATTAAGGAGTTTTATAAATGTTTATTTTAGAATTTCCTTTGTAGCTATTTTGACATGGCCTAAAAGAAATGTTGGGTCAGTTTCCTGGTTTGGGACCATAACGGGTTAAGGATGGTATAGATGATTCGTCGACTATACGCTTATTTTGCTATTGGAATGCAATTTTCTCTTTGCTATCCATGGGACCAGTCAAAGCTCCCCACTGTGATAGGTGACCACAACCATGCTTGGAGTTCAACTCGCAAACCGACTGACCATTTGTTTATATTCATGTGACTTACGTGACGCCGAATATACACTTACCCCAGCTAATAATTATTGTTTTGTCAATTTGAATTTTATTTCGTATCAACTATCATAGAATTGGCACAGTAGGAATGTTAGGGGCAAGTATGGTGATTTTATTAAACTGGTTCCATTGTTGGTGCGCCACGCATGGTTAGCGCAATTTAGTTTAGGTAGACAGGAACCCAGTCTAATGATTTCATGTTAGTCTGCAATCTCGGTCGAATCTGATTAAACAAAGAAAAAGGTAAATTCCACAGCTCGAGATGAGCTGTGTATTTGCGTAAAATACACATTAAATAAACGGAACTACGCAGACATATCATATCCTTGCGTATCAAATACGCAACAAAAACTAAAATTTTTGCTCTTTAAATAAAATTTATGCTTATTTTATAACTATTAGAAAAAACGATTGCATATATTACAACTGTTAGATAACATGATTGTGTATCAGCCGATCGCCAAATTCACTTAACGTCAGTTACATTCGGAAAAGCGTTTGCGATGAACAAACCGATAGATGCCAAATGAAAAGCCCATCGTGCCTCGTCAGTATTCATTATACATATTGTATCTTAAAAAATGGGAAACGCAATCAAAATTAACCCGCTGGATGCTGAGGTTTTTTTTCTGAGGCACATTTTCCTAAGATCGGAAAAGTGAAGGCTGTGCGACAACTGCGCTCATGCGGGACTGGATCTACCTCCGACTATAAGATTACGCAGAGTATTAAATTTCCTATCTAATGGTGTAAATCTAACTGCAGATATTAATCCGGTTTGAACAAAAGATACTGCCAAGTGTTGTCCGAAAATGTATTCAGGAAATTTCGCCGCTTTTTATCGTACACTGGTAAAGGTACTGTGCGACGATTTTATTTTATTTAGCAGCTTTACGGAAACTGTGAAACAAAATTCTGCCTTATATCTGAACTTCATAAATATATATCAAATGGAGTTATATGCGTGTGTAAAACGACATACATTCAATGCAAAAAATAGCCTGCCGTAAATGAAGAAAACTGATTTTTATCCCCCGCCGGGCCAGAATGGCGAATGGGGATTATGTCGAGGCGCAGTCCGTCCGTCCGTCCCACAGAGGGTACTAAGCTTGTGAAATCAACTCCTCCTACAGTTTCCAGAGAATATCCCTGACACTCTACACACAAAATGTCGACATGTTGATGATACGCACATGCACTCCCGTTTCATTTCGACTAATTTTGACAGAGTTACTGCCCCTGTTTTACGGAGCTTCATTTGCCTAATTGTGAGAGAGGATACTAAGCTTGTGAAATCAACTCCTCCTACAGTGTCCTGAGAATATCCCTGACACTCTACACCCAAGATGTCGACATATTGATGATACGCATATCGCAATCCCATTTCATTTCGCCTAATTTGACAGGGTTACTGCCCCTGTTTTACGGAGCTTCATGAAATCTACTCCTCCAGTTTCCAGAGAATATCACAATATCTAACTATAACTATAACTATAGTTAGTTTCCTTGTATAAGGCTTTTGTGGGTGAGCTACATCCTTCTGGCATTAGCATTCAGACTGGATTACACCCAACAAAATGTTCTGCACAATTTGTTTCAAATGTGCAGTGCCATCTACCGTTGTTATTTCATAAAATACAAAGAAAATATAAACTCGTTAAAAAATTCATGCGGGGGATGATGTGCTTTCAAAACACTCTTATTCTCTATGACGTCAAAGTGCGGCAGAGAGGTTACACACGTAAAAAGAAAAGGGGGCATAACTCAGCTATGCTTAGCTCCAGTTTATTTAAACTCAGGTCACTTGGTGAGAATTAGCTGTGGGCAAGGACAGTATATTTTCGTGGTATTTTGTTCACGAGTAACCAAACTATTCCAACACAAATATCGATATTAAAACTGTATACTCCCTTATTTTAACGTAAGAAATGATGAAATCGTACTTCATAAAACAGAAGTAATAGCGAAATGAATGGCCCTATCTAAGCTGAAAATTAGATTACAACTTTCTTCTGACTGTGAAAGTGATATTGGCTTATGTTGCACCATTATAAATGGAGCACTAGCCTTATGATCAAATGTAATGAATTAAACAAATGACACCATTCAATTTGAGGTCATAGTTGTTCTTATGTTTATGACAACGTCGGAGAAAGACGACACTGGCATTTTGATTAATATATATATATATATACCTCACCTAATTACTTTTTTACAATTCTTGGAGAAAGAACGTAAACAGTTTAGTATCCTGTGATCACAATATTTAGAAACAGATGAACCTTTTGGTTATATAATGCAAAACGAGAGGAATAATTCGTAAATCGTTTGTGACAACGCGCACCTGCGAATCGTTAGATATCACTGTTATGTATATCAAATGACCTAAAACATATTTCCAAGACCAAGACAATTGTCCTGGAAATGTGTGCGTATATTTTAACAAAAAATATTATCCAATTGGTTAAAGTAATATATTCAGTTTTAGCTTTAAAATAAAATGAAACGGCTATTCATGGAAATTGTTTATATGAACTTATAATATTGGCTATTACACTCCCCCCCAAAAAAAGGTACATGTTGCTGTTACATTTACATTTCATCTTGTCCAAAGGCAAGAAATATCGTATACAACACTATAAACTTATCAATTTCTTATGTAAACAATCTTCAAACAAACACGAGATTATCGAAGGTTCATTCATACATGTTCTGTCTTATATTTACGTATGATATCCTATTGAACACTGACAAATATCCAAATCTGGTCAGTCGTTAGACGAAAGTGTAAAGAAGGTGTCACGCGCTGGGAAGAAGCTTGATTGAAATGGTGAAATGGGAGAGAGAAAATAAATATCTCGCCAATCAGAAATATTTCTTTTAAAATTTTAGCAGCAATAATATGGAACACATCTCTTTAGAAACAGATGTATTCTTTTTCTTTGTTAAACTATATCGCCCACATGAGGCCTGTGCTGTACTTGCATATGTCGTGAAGCCAGCATTGTGCCGCCCTGTGAATTACCGATATCGTATTTAGCAGAGAAAACAGCCCGCAGCTTTAGTGTTTAGACCTAAGCTGGAATGCCGTGACGTCACTGTCATTGTACATTTGGCGCCACGTCAGCTGGGCGAACCTCGTCTCGGTCTGAGGTAACCGAGTGCAGCGAGATGTAAAGAAACAGTTTTTTTGTTTTTTTTCACGATTAATTACAAACTTATGGCATAAAACTAACACAGAAATATATAACGACATGCACGAACATATCACGAGGTGCGGTGCGTACATTCTAATCACACATCATCTCTATTTACACTCAGTTAACAATTTTCTTACCTGATGATGCGAAGTTCCAAACACAACAAATGACAAAATGTCTGAGAAACTTTTTACAAGTTTTATTCAGCTCCAAAAACAACAAACAGTTTCACGTAAATAAAAGACATATTTACACACGACGACGTGAACGGCACACCACGTCACTGTCACATCATCCCCACCGTCTACACAAACACGACACTGACATCACTGAGCGCCGCGGGACACGAGGAGATTCGCCACTCGCGTATATCCGAAGATTCTCGCCGAGTCGGCCGCCGTCAGTCCGCCGTTGTCCCTGGCGTCGATGTCCACCACGTTCAGAGACAGCACAATCTTCACTATCTCCAAGTGTCCGCCGGAACAGGCTTTGTGAAGGATGTTGTCACCGCGCTCGTCCACCAGTAACACATCAGCCCCTTTACCAACCAGGAGCGCCACCACGTCTGTGTGTCCATACTGTGTTGCCCACATCGCCGGTGTCATGCTCCCCCTTCCTCTACTGTTGATGTCCACCACGTTCAGAGACAGCACAAACTCCACCGTCTCCAAGTGTCCTCCAATACAGGCGAAGTGAAGGGTGTTGTCACCGTCCTTGTCCACCAGTGACACATCGGCCCCTTTACTCACCAGGAGCTCCACCACGTCTGTGTGTCCAATCCATGCTGCCCTCATCACCGGTGTCATGCTCCCCCTTCCTCTACTGTTGATGTCCACCACGTTCAGAGACAGCACAAACTTCACTATCTCCAAGTGTCCTCCAATACAGGCGAGGTGAAGGATGTTGTCACCGTCTTTGTCCACCAGTGACACATCGGCCCCTTTACTCACCAGGAGCTCCACCACGTCTGTGTGTCCCTCGCCTGCTGCCCCCATCACCGGTGTCCTGCTCCCCTCTACCCTACAATTGACGTCGACGCCCCGCGACAGGAGCCGCTTCACCTTCTCCAGGTTCCCCAACCTGCTGGCGTCATGGAGGTCATCGCAGTCTGCTGGTGATGGAGTCGCTGTAACACAAAGTGAACTCTCTACACTTCCAGACATCTTTGTCATACATCTACATGGTTCACACCTCAACGCGGTGACACGTGACACGGCACGTCATCAACCACTTCCAACATGGCTGACAATACAAGGATCAAGGGGAAGGACGACAGCTGGTTCATGTAATCAAGGATTATGTAGTCAATGTTTAGAATCTTTCTGTCAGATCCAGTTGTTGTAACATTATTCTGTGTATGGCTGGAGAGTGTTAACGTTTGATGGACTGAGCTTTATGAGACGATACTGTCAGTACAGTTGTTGTTTGGAAATATTAGATAGATCTTATAAGACATGACCTTGGTTTATGTCAGTCTGTTTGTTTGTTGTTTTACGCCGCACTCAGCAGTAGTCCAGCAATAAGATGGCGGAGTCTGATAAAGACAGACAGTCCAGTGGTTGACAACATGAGCACCGATCGACACAACTGGGATACGATTATATGCAAGAAGCAAGTCAGAACCCAATGGGACTATACCCCAGCTTGTTAATTGTTGGTGGGATTAAAGTGTGGTCTTTCTGCCCGCTGGGTTCTCCCACCTACCCTGGATAGCAGGCTTTTTTGTGGTCGTCACTGGTGTCCTCGTGGTCCGACTCGGGTCGCTCGAGGCTGAAACACAGAACATGCTGTTCAGAAAGCTATACAGACCACATAAGCATTCTACATACCAGATATTCGACAAAGTTTAGGTTTTTAAAATTTTGACTGATGAATACAATTTCAAAACCATTCATCTTAGTAGAGGTATAATTATATAAGGTAGTCCAGCAACTAATAAATCACTCAAACGACTATCATTAATATACAACACAAACATTGAGATTGCTGTTCATCTGAGCCGCGGGTCTGTACAGGCGTGTTGGATTGAGCCTTATGGTGGTACTGGCAATACAATTGACTTGTGTCAAATTATTAGGATAATAAGAGAGTACATTTATCAGCTTGTTATTGTAGAGGCTGTTCCTATGGAGGTTTTTGGAGTGAACTTTCAGGCTTATATTTGTTACATGTTGATGTGACCTCATCTCTTACAAAGTTGGACAGTGACAGTATCTACCACCTGCTGGCTTCTCCCACCTACCATGGGTCGTCACTGTCGTCATCTGTGCAGCCCTTTCTCTGTGGCTCCGGTCGCTCGAGGCTGAAACACAAAATATGCTGTTCAGTTGGGTTGGGTTTTACAGGTTCTTAGCAATATTCCAGCAATATCTGGGCGGGGAACACTAGACATAGGCTTCACAAATTGTAGCCATGCGGGGGAATCAACCTCGTGAATAGCGAATGCTATATCCTCTAGGCCCACCCCATCATATATGCTGTTCAGAAAACTATATATTGCAGGTAAACATTACAACTACTGGCCTACAAGAAGCTTTTGCCTTTCAACAAATGTGTGACTTTCAAATTTATTCACTGATAAACTTCATTTATAATACATTTGCTGTAGTAGAGTTATTATTAACAGCGTTAGAAATTGGCACTAGTCCTGTAGTCCTTACCAAATTGCCCAATGGTAAAGGTATCCTAAGGAGTAGTAGAAATTGGCACATTTTTAGGGTTTGGCTATATGTTATCATTATAAGGACTAGTGGACAAAAACTGTTAGTTTCTAACCCTGATTAATATACCGTAGCATGGTGACTGACAATTTTTGAAAATGGCTTATATTTATTAGATTTAGATTGCTGGAAAAACACTCCCTGAATAAACCTAAGCTGCACACTGCCTCTGTGCTACCTGCTGAGATATATCTCTTCTCTTGGTTGAAGTTGCAGAAACTGAATAGATTGTTATTTTGTTGTCATAATAATATAATCATACACCATAAATGAACACTACTACAACATCCCAATAGTTCAGATATCATAACGACTAGGCTAGTAAACATGTCATTTTAAGGGTTTTAGATGTTACCATTATGAGGACTATAAGGACTAAACATGTTAGTTTATATTGCTGTACACGGAAGAAAGACCAGATCTCAAATAAACTGAAACACAGCATATGTGCATTTATCATATCAGAACATTACAACATGGTATTACCTCAGCTACCTACCCTTAAGTCCCAATTATGGAATGATATTAGCATTTTAGTCTGACTTCGTTAGTTGTGGGTTGAATCGTTATGACAATGAAACGGTCCCCGCAAGTTGGTGCGTTGTTGCACAATATCAATATCAATAACAAGTTGTTGTTTGAGTATCAATACTGTGAATAGCAAATCTACATAGTACATACAGGTCAAATACTGAACATTGTTTTCTAATTTTCATTGCCTGCTATGTTATTACTGTTTATTTAAATTATACTCAGGTATTTGTTGTGAGTGAGAATCAATGTACATCGTTATATATATTTGTACCAGGATATGACGCCCAGCAGTGTATATTCTGGAGGAAAATATATTTTTCGTGCATTTCAACGTCTGTGGATACATCGTCAAATCGACAACTGTCTTGACGGTTTCTCTGTGTCCATATTGCTTTTTGCCAAATGATGATAACAGGCTACTAAATGAAGAGTGCTGCGACCAATCGTAAATTATTTGTTGTTCCGAGTGACTTTGCTTGATGTTTTAGTCCCCACCCTCCCAAATACAAACACTCTCTTAACTAGACTCTGAAATTGGTGCATTTTACGTCGTTTGGTGTCTCGGGCTATACAGTATTACAAACGTCGATATACGAAATGCTACAGAATAATATTTCAGTTATAAACTTTTCATGATGATGCAATGAATGTAAAAGAGCAACAGGTCTACATGACTCGGCGCGTGTGCAACACAGTGGTAATTCAGTGTCAGGAAAATTCTTTGCAACACTGTCATAATCCAACATTCCGAGCGATGGCGGCAGTACATCCATCAAAGATCAGCTTACTAGATTCTATCTGAGGGAGAAACTGTCGCCGGCACTACAAGATGTTTGATACGGTGTTTGGTTGTGTAAAGAAGGGTATAAACACGTGGCACTATTACGTGATTAAGATTGAAATGCCGATTGCCAGGGTGACGAGCGCCAAATTGTTTTCGCATTTAACACGTTTAACGTTCGTTCTAACTTAGTCATACAATAATGAGAATCACATTTGCCCTTATATATTCTACATTTCCTTGCCATACTTCAAAAAACAATGTTGGTGCCCTGCAAAAATACATTTGTTCCACATAAGATATTCCGGATTAGAACAAAGCTGAGTGTAAAAATAATGAGGCCCTGGTCTGAAGTGGGGATGTATTTCAGTAGATTTCTTCCATTATATGATGCAGAACAACGTTTTAAAACATATGAGCGAAAAAACATAGCCGACACTATGACTGAACAGATTTAGAATAAAATCTCATATTATCTAGTCTTTAGTCTCAGTTGTAAATATATTTAGTTGTTATTAGTTCAGAGGATGAAACTTACAAGCATATTTTTGCAATATACTGTTTCAAATAGAACAAACAAGCTTTGCAGTTGAAACGAGGTATGAATGTTTACATCCAGACGTTTGTTTATCCCCGGTGGCAGGCTAAACAAACGTCTGGGTGTTAACATTGTGTGAAGCACCTGATTCCTTCAAAATGTATTCTGTTGTACATAAATCTTACTATATTTACAATGTCTGTTTCATTTCATTTCCTAACAAAATCCTGAAGTACAAACTGAAAACTTACCACCGTTTACGTCCTAACACGAGCGACACATCTCACTGCCAGTCAAGAAACGCCTTGACTGGCGAAGGGGCGAGTTATGACGTCAGTGTGACGTATCTGGTTAGGAGCATGGCATAGTTTGGCGCTCGACTGCTTGTGCCGATCACTTCAGGATAATACAGTGTGGAGTGATACAAGATCTACAAGTCTTACTACAGTCTTACCATATTTCGTTTCAGATTGCATGTTGAGGTAACAAATTAAGCCTACTTCATTGGTTAAAGAAATCTACCTCATCATCGTGTGTAAACGATGTATTTATTTTAATTCTAAGATGCTTCGCTAAAAGATGAATGCACTGACTGTACTTTATCCTTCGACAAAGCATTGTTTCCGCGTGAAGATCCGGAGTAGAATAAGGTCTTGAGCAATCCATGCTGTTGTATTTGTAAAACATGTCGGCCGCTGACACAGTGATGAAGTGTTGCCTTGTTGCTGTTATATTTCGTATTGCTTATTTTCAAAAGTTTTACTGAACTTGAAATTTGATTGTAGATGAATGCGCCCAGGTATGTAACTCAGTCACAGCAATAACACATGTGCATACTTAAGTCCGTTAAGTAGGAACTAAATCTGTGGGTTAAAGTGTTGTTGGTTATTTGATATACTAGTAATTTATCGATAAAGGATCGTCAAAAAGGATATCCTGAATGACTATTATTTCGCGCCGCTTTTAACAGTATTTCGGTTATACCACGGTGTGTCAGCTTGATGTGGGAGGAATATACGAAATATTGTATAGTGCTGGGATTCGAACCTACGATTATAGATTTCGTGCACGCCTAGGGGACGCAACTCTTGATGGCGAATTGTGCCGCCTAAAACGACTTGGTCAACTGTGTCTGTCTCTCTGTCTGTGTGCCTGCCTGTCTGTCTGTCCCTTTGTATAAATAAGATAACTATATTCACGGGACTAAATGTTACTAAACTGGACTTTCCTAAAAGAGTCAATGCTTTTCTGCTTTGTCTCTTACTGGGTAAGCCAACTATACAGGTGTTAATATGCGTGACGGAACGGTCGCTTTTCCTGCTATATACCAATTATCAGAATACTTATCTATATATACGGGGCGTCAGAAAACCCTTGACAATGCGGTTCTGACAACTCAATCAGGAAGACGAGTTATTTCAAAATGGAACTCTGAAAGGTGACAATGTTTCATCATTTGTGGCTATTTTGGCGTCTGTCATATAACAGCTATAACTCCTGTATCCATGATCAGAATCTATATTTTTATAGGGCGTTAGAAATCTATCGACAGTGCGGTCCTGCAAACATTTTCTTCTGAGTTATCAGGCAAAATATTGTTTTGAAACGGGACTCGGAAAACGGTGGAAAATTTGCTCACATAATCCTTATCCTAAATCTGAATTCACATTTATTTAAATCATTGGAATGACTATGTGAATGCTCTTAGGGAATTGTGGGTTGAAGAACTGGTGGATGTCAATGATGTGTAAGACGAAGGAGGCGATGATTCGGAGACATCGATGTGGAAAAATGATGAGCCTGATGAAAAGTAGTCTGTCGGTTTACAGTGTTGGGGTCAAGTACAGGTGCGAACAGGGGGGGGGGGGGGGGGGGGGGGGGGGGCAGTACATTGGTGGCCCAGTCGTCTCTAGGGTGCCGCGATTGATGGTTCTAGTCCCTGTTTCCCGATCACGTTTCTAGGTTTGTCAGCACCATACCCGTGCTCGTGGGTTTCACCGAAGTGGTAAACGCCTGAGACCAGCATCACTTTGGGCTTTCCTCCCACATTAAGCTGGCACGCCGTGATATAACTGGAATAATGTTTAAAGGGGCGTTAAAACCAACTCACCCACCACATGTGCGGCGGAAGGATATTTGCTTATCAATTTCCGTCTATGACTTGTCACAGATTCTTGTTACCACGCGTGCCTCGCCGTGATATTGCTGGAATAATGCTAAAAGCATACGCACTCACTCACTAACTTCGCGTGTCATACAAATATACCTCTCACAGATATGTCAGGCACCTTTATCACTCTAAGGTTGGATTAATAATCAATTGATAATATTTTCATTTATGCTTCAAAATATTTTTCACCGCAACTGAAACCCTCTGTGCTGTCTGTGTAAGAAAATACTGATCTGCAGACAGCGTTCGGCTTCGACCGTAATAAAGAACTGCGCATAAGTGGAACGTTTTTCATTCGACAACTTCCCTACAAACATAAACACGTTCGTTGCGGTTGGGGACCCAACTACTGACATCTACGCCTATGTCTGTATTCCAGTGTTAAAAAAATTATTCGTACTATTCGGCCGCTTTTAAAGCTGAATGTATTTGGTGATAAATGTCACCGTTTAGCAAAATGTCTATATTAATGGCAAACCAAATCAACGCCAAATGAAAATGGCAGCCAACATTCCATGCAACTAGGCCTTGCGTATTTAGCACGAAAACAAAACTATTG